CAGAAAATATAGGAAAGTATAAAGCAATGGATGTTGGACAGCTTCGGTTCTTAGATAGCTTTCAGCATATGGAAATGAGGCTAGATAAATTATTTGAGTGATTAGAAGGAAAGCTCGAAAAAATTTCCCTAACTATCAAGCACTTTACTGAGAAAGACTATTTGATAGATAAGATCAAGCTTTTATTCTGAAAAGAAGTCTTTCCATATGACTGGACAAATGCATAGGAAAATTTGACAGAATAAGCCTTCCTTATAAAAAGGACTTCTATTCACTTCTTAGTCAGCAAAATATTAGTAAAGAGAATTATGAACATGCTCAAAAGGTATGGCAAGTATTTGAGATAAAGAACTTTGGAAAATATCATGACCTTTATCTTGAGACTAATGTACTTTTACTTGCCGATGTGTTTATTAATTACACAATCATGTACCTCAAAGATGATAGCTTAGATCCCTCTCATTATGTCTCACATCTGGAATGTTTAATGATTCTTTATACTAAAGTAGCGGAGCAGAACTTAAACTCATGACAGATATGGATGAGTATCTAATTGTTGAGAGTAGCATTCGAGAAGGGATAACAATGGCAAGTCATCGATATGCTAAAGCTAATAATCTGAAATGTTCTGACTATAATTCTAGTAAACCAAAAACTTATGTCATGTATGAGAATATGAATGCCATGTATTCAGGTGCCATGACTCAAAATATGCCTATAGAGATTTTGGGCAAAATAAGTTCAGAAAATGTTCCCAATATACAAAGCATTTTACCAGATGCGAAAATGGATTATATGTTAGAAGTTGATTTAGAGGTTCCAGTGCACTTATACGATTTCTTTGCAGATTTTCCTTTAGCGTCAGAAAAGTAAATAGTGCCAGAAAACTGGCTTAGCTTATATAATAAAAAATTAGTACGTGACAAGGTAGTTGGAGATGTAAAATACGTATCTGGAGAGAAGTTACTTCAGACCCTTTATAATAAGAAGAATTATGTAGTTCATTATCGAGCTCTTCAAACATACATAAAATTTGGATTGAAAGTTATAAAGATTCATAGCGTTCTAAAATTCCAGTAATCTTTATGGATAAAGGAATATATTGAGGAAAACATTTGAAAGCGTATGATTGCTAAAGCTAATGGAGACGAGTTTGGGGTTATGTATTATAAGCTAAAAAATAATGCTGTCTTCGAAAAACAGATGGAGAATATTCGTAAACATATGAGAGTTGAATTACTTCGACCAGAAGAGAATAAAAAAATCAGACGCCTAGCAAGTTCACCATTGAATGTAGGCTTTAACGCATTTGAGGGAGGCATAACAGCTGTACATATACTAAAAGGCACAGTAACTTTAAATAAACCAATCTATGTAGGGCAGGCAATTCTCGATATTAGCAAGGCTATGATGTTTAACTTTTGGTATGGTAACATAAAGCCTCGTTATGGAGATAAGACCTGTTTACTGTATACTTATACAGACTCACTTATCATGTTTATTGAAACTGAGGACATATATAAAGATCGAGCAGAAAGGCCAGATATTTTCGATCTTGATTATTCAGGTGACTTATTTCTGATGAAGGATGAGACAAAGGGAAATCCAATAGGTAAATCAGTATGTTTAAAGCCAAAGATATATTCAGTCCTTCCAGCAGGTCATGATCCTAAAACTTCCGATGATCCAGATTCTAAAAAGAAGTATGGTATCTAAAAGGCAAAGGGTATTAAGAAATGCGTGGTCAAAAGGAAGCTTCAACATGATAAATTTCTAGAATGTCTAAAGACTAGGAAGCTAACCCGACATGATATGTATGGCCTTTGCAGTTATAATCATCAAATATATTTGAAAAGAGTAAATAAGATAGGGTTAAATCCATATGATAATAAGCGCTGAATCTTGCTTGATGGAATTCGAACCCTTCCATATGAATATTGGCGAATTGGATTATATAAATGTCTGATAGTATCTGAAATATCTCCTAAGAAAGCAGAAGAAAGGGCTATGAAAGCTAAACTTCGTGTCAAGGCATAAATATTATATATATATATATTTTTTCCTATATAATAAATATTTGATTACAGAATACTTCTCTATAATGAAATGCAAACAAGAGCAAAAATCTAATAGCACATATAGCGAGTATGAAAAAGACATGGTAAAAGAGCTAATGAAGTTATCAGAACTCGATCATCTTACAAGAGAGTCTTCAGCAATTGATAAAAAATCCAGTATTTTTATTGGAGAAATTATAGCATTAATGATAAAAGTGGATAAACTTAATTCTCAGTTCAAAAGACTTGAAAGAACTGTAGACTGAATAGGAAATTATGTAGAAGAGTAAACTGGCTTAGAACTAGAGCTCCTAATGAGTTGAGTCGAGTCGAGTCAAAAAATTTTAAAATCTAACTCGACTCAACTCAAGTTATTCTTAAATTTGACTTGACTCAACTCAAGTCAAATAAAAACCCCCAAAATATATTTGCTGATTATATAAATAATAATAATAAAATTATATTAATATTTCGGAGGCTATTATCTAATGATCTATTAATCAGAATTTTATGAAATCTGCACTATCGTGTTCGCTGAGATGCACTTATCAAAATGATATGTGTTGAATTTCTAACGGATCACTTTTTTTTTTTTTTAAAGACGCGGTAATATAATTTTATTAATATGTTATACAAATCAAATTCAATGAAGTAAAACAAACAAAAAATTTATATGATCTATTCTAAAAAATTATTGCCTAGAGGCGTTATGAAACCAAAAGATCTGTGGCCCTTCCAAACCATCCGGTTGTTCTATCAAGTTCAAAAAATGAGGGATACCTCATATTTATTACAACTATCTAATTTTAAGGTGAAAGTTTGAAGAAAAATAAAAATAAAATTAATAAAGGTGACAACTAGCTATTATCGATCCAAGAAGAAAGTCCAATTTCTACCATGAGTTATTGAGAGTTTGACTAATTCGTTCCAATTTAAAAAAATAGGGTGTGCAATAAAAATTGACAGAGGTATATAGTGATTAAAGAGAATTGAGATTTACGATCATATATTCTTTTCTTTGATATCAAAATATTCAGGAATTTTTCTTTATATATTGTTGTCTTACAATGAGGAATCCATATCTTTTCGTAAGTTAGTTCAAAAAGGTAATCGGTAGTATTGTTGATAATAATATTGGTTTGTTTGTTAGAGCTAGTGATGTTATTTATGATGTCAAAAAATTTTGAGAGTATGATTCCTTTGATTAGGTCAATGAAATTAAGAGAGTCATGTTTGGTATATAGTATTCAAATATCGTCAATTTCTAAGTAATTATATAAAATGGCGGAGGGAACATGATTAAATAAAACTAGCTGATTTAAAAGATATTGTTTGGTGTTTAATATAATGTCTAACATTGATTGAGTATTTTTGTTGCAGGTCCAAATATGATTGAAGATTTCATCATTCAGAAAGCAAAGACAGCATTTCCACATTGAATCGTAAATGTGAGATTGAGTAGCTTTTATAAATTCAATGGTTGGAAATTGTTCTGTAAGATACTTGACTCTCCTACTATGTTTTTTTGATTCCTCAGTAGAAGTTTCACATATAACATCGTTGCCTTTGATATTATTAAAAGTACATATCCAATTTATATGGAAATATTTGTATTTGATATTTCTTTTTAGATAGAAAAAATTTATGAATCTTTGTGTTCTAAAGATTACTTTGATGAAAGAGCGAATTGAAATATTAATCAGAAGGTTCTGAAACTTCAGTAAAAATTTAACGTGAAGAGTATCGTCAATATTAATCGAAATAGGTATGTTTCTTAGGGCTTGTTTAGCTAGATTATTTACGTGTTTGTTCCATTTTATACCTGAATGAGCTTTGACTTTGACAAAAGAATTGTCAAGGGTTTGACTTCGATTAGAAAAAAAATATATGACCAATAAATATAAAAAGGTAATTTGAAAAGGAGTGAAGGGTAGTTTAAAATATTATGTTTTCTAATTTTGTTGTATGATTGTATTGATGAAAGACTATCTGTGTAAATTATTAAATTTGAACAAGGAGATGCAAGTAAGGCAACTAAAAGAATAGCAAAAATTTCTGCATGTAAAGAATTGGACCAAACTGAAGTAATAGCTGTTGCGAAAGAAAAATATCCTGATCATCTAACACTAATGTGAGAGCTGAACTAAGGTAGGTAGTTAGATTGTCAGAGTTAAACAAGTGGGAACTATCAGTATAAAATTCTAGGGTTCGAGGATGTTGTTGATGTAATAAATAAATTTTTGTTTTGATATCGTCTAGTATGTGATAAACTGGCTGGTTTGCAAATAGTTTTTTTAAGAAATTTGAGTTATAAGAAAAATCAGTAGAAATATCTAAAATATTTTGAGAAGTCGTAGGACTATGATAAAAATTATTGTGAATAAAAAGTGTTTGGTCTGAGATAGTATATAAAAAGCTGCGTGTGAGATAGATACAATCTGTATGGATAAGGTTTGAGTCTGGTAATACGTACATATTTATTACATTTGCTAATTTTCGGTTGATGAAAAATCTGCAAAGCATTTGCTGTGCACTTTTTAACTTTGAATCTGTTTTATCCTCTTCTGAGTTCAGATAGCATCTAAAACATAGCGTGTAAGTGTGTTATCTTTTTGACGGAGATCTGGGATCATTAAGTAAGTTTATTCGATTAAAATGATAAAAAAGAACTACATGGGAAATTGAAGGAACTTTGTGTGATCTTCTGATTCTAATTTGTTTGTATTGTTCATCTCACATCGATGTCCATTGAAATCTTTTGATTGTTTGATGTGATGTCGAAGTGATGAAATTCGATGGCTGAGAATCAGAGGCAGCGAAATTCAGTAGTAATCTATATGAATTAACGGAAGTATCCGTTACTTTATTCCTTAGTTTATCGTACCATCTTGGAATAGTAGTACATTTTGAGTGATTGTATGCTTTGTACTTGATATCTGTGAATGGGATTAAATATAAACCATTTCCTACAAACAATTGTTCGAAGAAATAAATATTGTGTATTTTGAGCGATTTCAGATTTTTCATTGTTATATTAATTATGGTATTCAGGGGTATTATACCACCTTTAATTTGAAATACCTCTGATGATGGTTGAGTAAAAGACATGTTTGATATGTGTATATTATTGATCAAAGACTCCAATAGACTAGATTTTCTGAGAGCTTTGGTTGAATTTTTTCAAGTGACTAGGGGGTTATCATACAGGTGATGCTGAAACTGTATTTGTCTTAGACAGATTCTAAAAGTATCCGCTATTAAGTTCAATTGATTAACTAGTTTAGTTAGATGATCGTGTTTAGTTTGGAGTTGGATGTCGAAAAATTCCCTATATTGATAGATGAGATTATTTCTGAGCAGACTACAGTCAACCCTTGATATAACGAATTTTATGTCCTGAACTTCAACTTCGCTATAGAGCTATAGTGAATTTTTTAAAGAATTTGATTGGCTAGTTTGTTATAATGAGAGTAAATTTAATATAGTTGTCCAAAAAATTCGTTATATAAAAATTCGCTATAGAGAGGTATGACTGTATTTGGGATGCTCCTATTAAAATCCAGTTTATGTTTTATTAATGTTCGAACAGATGCAAATATTTTATTACATTCTTTTTTAGATAAATAGGTCAGTTGTGCTTGATAATCTAACGTTGAGATTAGGACTGTGTTATTCATATAGAGAATCATTTTGTCAGTCATAGGTTTGATTTTGACTTTAATTATGAAATCGGCAACGATATCTACTAATTGTTTGATGATAAAGGTCTTGTTGTTGTTAATACTGATCCAGACTCCTAAATATCTATGCGATGAG